CCCCCAATAAAAGAAAGCTATCTGAGGATTGCAGTTCTAAGCCAGCCTTGAGACGCTAATCTCCATCAAAAAGCTAGAAGTAGAGCTGTGGCTCAAGTGTTAGCCATGAGTAAAAAGCTATGGGACAGTGCCCTGGCCCACAGATCAAGCCCTAGTTCTGGAAAAAAATTGAGCAAATAATTTGGAAGATAGTATCTTCATACCAGAAATGCTGTCTATACTATGCATTTTGTGATTGTTCTTCATAGTTCCTTTTTGTTGTTGTTTATGGGGCTTGACTTCAGGGCCTGGGCACTGTCCCTCAGCTCTTTTCCACGAGAGGCTAGCACTATACCACCTTGAGTCACCGGTCCATTTCTGTTTTATGTGTGGCCTTTGAAGCATAAACAATCTTTGCCAGGTACTTGTGGCTCACACCTTTAATCTTAGCTCCTAAGGAGGTTAGATCTGCAGAAGTCTGAAAACAGGAGAGTTCCTAAGCCCGAAGTGGAGATGTGGTTCAAGTAATAAAGCACTAGCCTTGATTAAAAAGGCTAAGGTATAGCACCAGGCTCTGAGTTCATGCCCAGTACCAACACATATGCACACACACATTAGCATAGTCTTCATCAATCACTGAGTTCCATTGTAATTGCTTCAGAATTAATTTTGTTTATGTCAATGAACATTTGTCAAACTTTTTTAATTTCTAGACAATCCCCTATGTTGGCACCATTTCTGAGCAGTTGAAGCCTGGCTCTTTGATTGTGATCCGTGGGCATGTTCCTAGTGATGCTGACAGGTAAAATCATTGTGCGGGAAACACACAAATGGTCTAGGTGATTGCAGAGTAAGAACAGCTGCTGCGGTGGAGAGGCTGTCTTGCTTCACTGAGGCCTGGCGTTGTACACGAGCAGCCCTGCCAGGATGTGAGGAGATGGGGCCAAGCCACCGAAGACCCGTTACTGGGGTTACTGGGGTTTTTCACCTCATGGCTGATATAAGAATTAAGCTCATTGATTAAAAAAGGCTTGTTAACCTGGGCACTTGTGGCTCATGCTTATAATTCTAGCTACTCAGGAGGCTGAGATCTGAAGACTGTGGTTCAAAGCCAGCCTGGGTTGGAAAGTCTGAGACTTTTCTCCAATTAATCACCAAAAAGTCAGAAGTAGAGCTGTGGCTCACGTGGTAGAATGTTAGCCTGGAGCACAGAAGTTCAGGGTCAGGCCCTCTCCTGCTTCCTGCCATGACCCATGGCTCCCGCTCCTCAGATTCCAGGTGGACCTGCAGGTCGGCAGCAGTGTGAAGCCCCGAGCTGATGTGGCCTTTCACCTCAACCCTCGCTTCAAAAGATCGGGCTGCATCGTATGCAACACTCTGACCCAGGAGAAGTGGGGGTGGGAGGAGATCATCTACGACACCCCCTTCCAGAGGGAGAAGTCCTTTGAAATTGTCATCATGGTGCTGAAGGACAAGTTCCAGGTGGGTTGTGCCTGGGCCCACAGGGGACCCTTCTGGTCAGGTGAGCCACCAGTGCAAGGCCTTACACTCACCCTGCTTGTATCACACCTGAGCTTGGCCCTGGGATCGCCATGAAGGCAGAAGGCAGATGTTAAGTGAATCTGCACCTCTGCCCAGGCTCTTAGTGGCCCCTCTGCCTAGGCGTCTTATCTTCCAGCAGGCCTGGGCTCAGCTGCCCCAGCATCCTGTTAATCCTGGGAATGGAGATGGTGGCAAAGGGGGAGGGTGGTGGGAAGGAGAGACAGGTGGTCTGCAGTGCTTAGTTAAGTTTCCCACTAGATGGTGCTGTGCACTTCTGAGGTGATTACAGCCCCTGCCTTCCTGAGGTGGGTCTCCCAGCCCTGAGTGCCCCACGACTCCAGTAGGGACTCACTGCTGGTGTGGGGCCTGGCATTGCACAGCATGCTGCTCCCTAGCTCTCCCTCGACCTCCTGTACTCCATTCCTGAGAGAAACTGTTTTGCAGTGCAGGTACTGCGGCTTGAACTCAGCCTCAAGCCCTCACTTGGCTTTTCTGCACCCGGCTGGCACTTTTATCACTTGAGCCATACCTCCGTTTCTGGCTTTTTGATGTTGGAGATAAGAATACATGGACTTTCTTGCTTGGCCTAACTTTGAACCACAATCCTCAGATCTTAGCCTCCTGAGTAGTTAAGATTACAGGCACAAGCCACCAGCGCCTGCCCCCAAAGGAAACAGAAGTTTGGATAATAAGTTCATTTGTTAACTGTGTCCATCCAGGTGGCTGTGAATGGAAAACATACTCTGCTCTATGCCCACAGGATCAGCCCAGAGAGCATAGACACGCTGGGCATTTATGGCAAAGTGAACATTCACTCAGTTGGTTTTAGCTTCAGCACGGTGAGTGTCCTTCCATGCATGCCTGCTTTGGTGTCTTTGAGAAGAAACTTCTTCATGTAGGCATGACTGGCTGTTGCTTGTTGCCTCTGACCAGGGCTTTGTGGCCTGTAGGCGCTCAGATGGCAGCTGGTTCTAACACAGGGAAGCCCTGCCAGGCTGAGGGTGCACTTCCTTTCCACAGTGGTCATAGAGGTTGCCCTTCAGGCTTCTTGGCCTCAGCTAACTTGTTCCTGTGAACAGTTTGCAACCTCAGCAGCTGTGCAGCTGCCCAGGCTCGTGTTCACAGGAGAGCTTTCTCCACTGCTTGTTCACCAGGGGACCCCAGGGTCAGAGCATTTTACAATTACAGTTCTGGATGTTCAGTACTACTTACCACTTGTATGTTAAACAATTTATTTTCAAAAGATGCTCTATGGGTGTGGAACAGTAGTGTGTATTTTCTTTTCTGCAGGATTTACAAAATACTCAAGCATCGATTCTGGGACTATCAGAGATAAATACAGAAAATGTAAGTATTAACTCTCTTAATAGAAAGAATATAGTCAGTGAGTAACAGCTGTCATTTTAACTCTCATTTCCTGCATAGGAAATAGAATGTTTCTATTTCTCCCTACTCTGGCCCTGTTATAAATCCTTGCTAAAACTTAAAATGTTCTTAGGTGTTACTGGTGGGTGTTTTTCTTTTCTTTTTAAAATTATGGTTTTACTAGGAATCCAAGATAGACACAATTGTTTAAGCATGTGCTGGTGGCTCATACCTAGCTACGTGGGAGGCTAAGAATGGGAGGACTGTGGTTTGAGGCTAGCCCAGGCAGAAAATTTTGCAGTATTCCACCACAACCCATACCCGGACATGGTGGTGCTTGTCTGTCACCCTAGCTATGAGGGGAAGGATTACAGGTGTGAGCCACCTACACCTGGAAGATACCTTTCTTTTAAACATGCTTTTTTCTTTCTCTTCTGATAGGTACAAAAGTCTGGCATTTCACAGTTTGTAAGTAGTTTTGTCGGTTGTTCCATGTGGTCTGTGTTGTCAGCTGTCAAGAGGGGGGGCAGATTAGCCGTAGATGGCAGCTCCATTCTTCCCACCCATGTGGACTGTTTCTCTGCAGCCTAGTAATAGAGGAGATATTTCCAAAATCGTCCCCACAACTGTCTACTCCAAGAGCAGAGACTCGACCGCGAACCACACTGTGACTTGCACCAAAATCCTTCCTACCAACTATTTGTCAAAGGTTTGAGGAGCCAGCCATGTTGTTAGCTAAAAATTCAGTGATTAGCAGTGTGAGGACCCTGGCCCCTGCCAGGGGTCAGAGAGCCAGCTCGGTTGTGCAAGCGTGCGTGCATGTGTGCTGTCCCCGAGCAGAGTCCACAGGCCATGTGTCCTGCTGGAATGGGGCGCTGGGGCACCAGCTCTCCCTGCAACCCCTAGCCACAGTGCTCCCAGCTGGGCCCAGAGGCCCTGCTGGTCTAGATGTTCCCTAGGGCAGTGGACAGTCTCTTGGGAGGTCCCTTCGGCAGTTGCCTGCCTGACTGTGGCGTCTTTACAGACCCTGCCTTTCAAAGGGAGGCTCAACTCCCCCATGGGCTTTGGACGGACCGTCGTCATTAAAGGAGAAGTGAATACAAATGCGAAAGGGTGAGTGTTGCACAGCAGTGGCCCGGCTGTGGGGACGTGCCTTGCTGCAGGGTGGCCACCTCGCACCTCGTCATGGGCTCCGGGGTAGAGGTGGGGCTGATGTCGGGCCCTCGTGTCAAAGGGGCCTTGGTGGCTCAGGAGGGTGGCCTGTGATGTTGCCAGTAGCGTTCCTGTGAGTACACACTCAGCTGACAGTCTCACCGCCAGGGCACTGCTGTACATGCCCCTCCTACAGTCGCAGTCTGAGCTCCAGTGTGATTCACTCTTCTCTTCTGTTTGACTTTTTTTTCCTTCTCTTGAAGCTTTAATGTTGATCTAGTGGCAGGAAAATCAAAGGATATCGCTCTCCACTTGAACCCACGCCTGAACGTGAAAGCATTTGTAAGGAATTCCTTTCTTCAGGGAGCCTGGGGTGAAGAGGAGAGGAATATCACCTGTTTCCCATTTAGTCCTGGGATGTACTTTGAGGTAAGGTTGTTTGAAAATGGGGCTGGGTGAGCAAGTACCCACTGCTTCAAGTCCAGTGCAGTGTGGGGCTGTGGAACGCTCCCGTTTCTGTGGAGATGAACTTGAATGCAGGGTGCCACTCACTGGCACTGGAGGCTTTTGGCAGTAAGATGGTCTCAGGACTGGAGGGGATCGGGGTGCAGGAAGCACTCCATCCAGGGAGTTGGTCCTGCTTACATTCAAAGGACAGTGCGTACATTAGACCTAAGAACCAACTGAGCCCTAGATGTTGGGCACTGCCCCCGTTTCTGGAGCTTGGGTGGAGCATGGTCTCCAGAGATGAGCTGGGTTGCTGGCTGAGTGACCCACTGCGTACCCTCATTTCCCCACCCAGTATTGCTGTCAAGAGAACACTCAGCCACCAGATTTGCAGATTAGGTTTGGTGTCTCCACCTGGCCCTGGTGGGTGGGTAGCAGCCAGGCTGGGCATCCTCCCTGCTTGTTCCTGAAGCTGGCACTGGAACAGAGCTGAGGGCATGGTGGTGGGTGCCGCTGGTGATATGGTATACAAGGATGCTCTCAGCTGCTCAGGTTTGGGGCAACTGGCCTGAAGAGCTTTGAGGTGAGCAGGCTGAGCAGGGCCAGGATGGCCACCAGAGGACATGCCGTGGGAATCCTCAGATCACTCAGGATCTCTCTGTGCTGCCTGGGTTAGCTGCCCTCCATCACTAGTTCCCACCTACTGGCAGGGATGGCAGCTCCCCATATTCCCAGGGAAAGCGAGGAGGTTGGGTAGTACAGGTCTGGGGGACCGAGTGGCTGAGGCAGAAGACACTGCCAGACACAGGCACAAAAAACCCAGCATTTCCTTCTGATTCCCCTGGGTAATCCCCAGGGAAAGCACAGCTGGCGCTCCTCCCTTCTCCTCCCTTCCAGATGATCATTTACTGTGATGCCAAGGAGTTCAAGGTGGCGGTGAATGGGGTGCACAGCGTGGAGTATAGGCACAGGCTCCGGGACCTGGGCAGTGTTGACATGCTCGAGGTGGATGGCGACGTTCACCTGCTGGAGGTGCGGAGCTGGTAGCCGCCACCGCCAACCCAAATACATCAGCCTCTGTGACATGGGCCTGTCCACGTGCATCTCGAGTCACTACGTGTTTGTTGTTGAGCTCTCAGAGTGTCAAGGCCTCCTGGTGTTCCCCTGCTGTCCGCTGCCCTGTTCGGCCAGTGTGCTTTCCTCCAGTGCTCAGGAACAAACTGGCAGCCAAGGCTCTGCCGCTGTTAATACCACACTCAATTAAGCAGCTAAGCACCTGCTCTGCTGTCAGTGCTGAGGAACAGGGGCGTGGTCTGTGTTAGTGGCTGGGCCCCGGCAGGCAGAGCTGAGGTGATCCCTGTCCTTCCGGCTGGGACAGTGTGGTGGTGCTGGGTGCACTTGTCCACATGCGCACTCACTGCGTCCTTCCAGGTCAGGAGAGGTTAAGTGCTGCTGGGTGGGACATTACCCCTACTGCACACCCTTCCTTCCCTATTTGCCTCATCAGATCCTGTGGCCAGGACACTGCACAGGCTCCCATTGGCAGTCTTTAGCAGTGTAACTAACTTTTCTCGCTATAATAGCTTTACTGAACAATTAACATGGAAACATGAGAACATAGTAAAAGAAGGCAAAAAAATCCCACCCCAACAAGAACACCCAAAACCAATCATATGGAGGTTATGGCAGCCAACTTGAGGTGTGTGTGTCCCTGCCTGCAGTGAGCTTAGGGCACAGGCCAGATGAATGCAGTCAGTAGACCCTATTGTAGTGCCATGAGACGGGTGGACTCCTAAGGCAGGCACCACTCTGAGAGCTAGGCAGTGGAGGCAGCATCTTGTTCTCCTGCAAACTGGCACTTCCTCTACTTAGTGACTGCTTAGTCATCATGACTTGAGACCAAAACCTTGCTGTGTTTACGTGATTACAATCAGGCCTGTATCGGCAAGTGAAGGGATCTGGCAAATGTCTCACATAGAATCTTTACAGGTCACATCTTGTTATAGATTTCAAAAGTTTGGACGTGGGGCAGAACAGTCTAAACCAGTAGTTCCAACTTCTGCTGGGGTTTAGGAATATTTTCATAACAGATTTGGATATTATTTGCACCCATATATTAAAAAAATACCATAACCAATCCTATTTTTCAAAATTCCTTTGTTGAAAGTGCTATTCTTTAACTCTCTTCACATTAATTTATTATGCTGTCTTGCCAAACTCAAGATACGAGGGCGGTGGGAATGGGAAGTTAGTAGGAGCAAGGAGGCTGCTCCTGCAGCCCTGCCTTGAAAACATCAGAGGGTCTGACTGAGATGCTGGAGACCAAAGGCACTTAGGAAAACGCAAAAGCCCACTCACTGTTCCCTGCCAGTGTGAGAGTTCCTTTTCATCTGTTGTACATGGAGCAAATCTAATTCTTTGATAGAATAAGCACAAAGTTAAAAGAGATATGAACTGGGTCTGGTGACTCCTGTTTATAATCCTAGCTATTCAGGAGGCTGAGATCTGAGGATCACAGTTGGAAGCCAGCCCTCGCAGGAATGAGACATGAGACTCTTCAACTAATCACCAAAAGTGCTAGAAGTAGAGTCATGGCAAAAAAAAAATCAAACAAAAAATGCTCAGGGACAGTATCCACTAGTATCCTGAGTTAAAGCCCCAGGATCAGCACACACAAAAAAAGGGCTGGGAATGTGGCTCAGTGGTAGAATGCCTGCCTCACATGGGTTCCATTCCTCAGTACCACATAAAAAAAGCCAGAAGTGGCGCTGTGGCTCAAGGCACTAGCCTTGAGCTGAAGAGCTGAGGGACAGCGCCCAGGCCCAGAGTTGAAGCCCCACACTGATTTAAAAAAAAGGATTCGAGTACTTATTAAGGAACTGTACTAAGACGTTCTTTGAGAAGAAGGAGTGTTTCTGGGATGCTCTCTAAGGAAAGGCTTTCAGATTCCATGCTGACACCGAGGGGCAGTTCTTCAATGGTTCTTTAAGTTCAGCCTTCACTGTAACACAGTGCTCAAGATTAGAGAACATCAAAACCGGGGAGATGATGCAGACGCTTTCCCACAGGGAATGTGCTCATGGCGGCTGCAGAAGCTCCTACTCCCTCCGTGCTGGTCACAGGACCGGCCCGGGGTGGGTTCACAGGCAGCTTCTTGGCTCCTGGTCCCCCCTTCCCAGAGAAACAGAGACCGGCCCTAGAACTGCCTGCCTCTGCGGCCACCCAAACTCCAGCGGCTCCAGCCAGTATGCCTTGCAGTGGAATGCTGAAAGGCTGTTTTGTTGGGTAGAGGGCAATGGAGTGAGGCCCACAGACCCAGATCCCTCACAGCACGGAGTGAGGGTGTCACCCTCCAGGACTCGTTGGCCTTGGGGGCCATCCTCTCAGCGCCATGCAGAAGAGACCACACAAAATGGCAGACTGTTTTATAAAAAGATAGCACGTCCTATTTACCAACTGTACAAAAGGCAGCCCAGCCTGGGCAGGTCAGCTGTAGAAGTCATGAGGTATCTGCAGTGAGCGGTGCCAAAAGCAACATGGCACCAGCACCAGGATCGACCAGCTGAGTGCATGCGTGGGGTCAGAAGTAGCTCTGCAGCGGCTCCCCCAGTGTGGTCTCCAGCTGCTGGATGCTCTTCTGGCACTGGTGTTCCACTTCTTCACACTCATCTGAGAAGGAAAAGCAAAGTGAACCCGCCAGTCACCCGCACCTGGGCACTCCAGTCTTCACTGCTGCACCCTCTGCCCTCGGCCTCGAGTGGGGCCGTCACACTCGCTCCTCCCTCCTGCCTGCCTCGTCCTGTGACCCCCAAGAACGGGGCTGACACGTACACATCCCACAGCCCTTCACCAGGGGTTGGGGCACAGTGAACAGAGATGAGTGTTCCTTTGCCACTTGCTGAGTGTGCATGAGTGTGCATTCCAGCACGGTGAAGCCCTGTGAGAATAGTTTCAGCACAGACCAGCTGTGGCTGCTTCAACCAGTGACATAGGCCACAATCACTGGCTCTCTAGTGCCGCTACTGTTCAAGCCTCTAAAAACAGGGGCAGTGTCATTTGCCCACTTAGTGGGCCACATGAGGACCGAACACCAAGTACGCGTGGGCATCTACCACGGCATCCTCTGTGATGCACCACATTCCAGCACAACCTCTAGCTGGGGACAGAATGCTCACAGAAATTACACTACTGCAGCCTGTGTGTACACCCAAACCCAAGACTGTACTGCTGGCAAACATGCAATGACTGCCAGAGAATCCTGCCAGTTCCCACGTGTCCGGGAATGAAGCAGAATGGTATCTGCTAACCACGAAGATCCCAAACTGCGGTATTACTGGGGATGTACGTATGCACACACACACACACACACACACACACACACACACACACTCATTCACTCTTTTACCCTAGTTATTAATAGTTTGGGAATTACCTTCCATCAATTCTGCTAGGAAAGGAATGGATTCTGGTAGCAGGACAATGTAATTCTCCTTTAGCTTTTCAGCTAGTGCCACCACGGTAAGCAAGGCTGCAAACCTCACCTGTAGGAGTAAGACAATCAGAGGGTGCAGTTACTTAGGGCTCACAGTCGTGTTTCCTGCCTTAGGACTTGAACTGACTGCAGAAAAGCTCTTCTTCTGATAGCTGTAATCTCATGCATTTATTTTCTCCTTAGTACTCCATCACAGAAAACCAGCTTATCCATTTGTGATCATCTGGAATATGCCTAACATTTAAAAAAAAAAGTTTCTCAAACTGCATTCCTACCCCTGAAGCTCTTTAATGTGTCTATCTTCATGGCATTTTCCTTTAAAAACAAAACAATAAAGTCGGATGCTGGTGGCTCATACCTGTAATCCTAGTTATTCAGGAGGCTGACGACTATGGTTCGAAGCCAGCCAAGACATGAAAATCCCCATGAGCGGGGGTGCCGGTGGCTCATACTTGTGATCCTAGCTACTCAGGAGGCTGAGATCTGAGGATCACAGTTCAAAGCCAGCCCAGGCAGGAAACTCCGTGAGACTCTTATCTCCAATAAACCTCTAGAAAACCAGACGTGATACTGTGGCTCAAGTGGTAGAGTGCTCACCTTGAGCCAAAGAGGACAGGGAAAGCACCCAGGCCCAGAGTTCAAAACCCATGACCACGAGACTCTTGTCAATTAACTACTCAAAAACTAGAAGTGGGGCTATGGCTCAAAGTGGCAGACCGCTAGCCTTGAACAAAAGAGCTCAGGGACAGCACCCAGGCCAAATTCAAGCCCCACAATCACCATCCCCTCCCACCACAAAAAAAATTGCCATGTGTCACCAGACTTAGCAGCACTGGATAGAGCTGACAGATGCTGAGTTGAGATTGCCAGGCTGGGGGAGGGGCGCATGGAAGGATGCCTGGGCCAGGACAGTCACTACCACCTCAGCACCAAGTGAAAAGTTAAAAGCACACCAGAGTTAAGATTTCCTGACATTGTGCAAGTAACATAATCTAAGATTAAATCTGCTGTTGCAATTTATGTATGAAACTATGATTTTAGATTTGCAAATTCATCAGAACAGCGTCATTGTTTCTGCTTGCTAACATATGTTACGAGTTGAATCCTGTAAATGTTTTGGTCTGTTTTACAGTAGCTTAAACCATTAGAAATGGCTAAAGCCTTTAGAAAGCGTGACCCTCTCATGTCATTGCAGTTACCAACCTCATGCCCACGGAGTAGAGAGCATGCCGTGTCCTGGCAGTGCGCGTGGACAGACTCTAACCCACACCTCAGGGCCCAGTGGCAGACACAAGCAGCAAATACTTTTGTCATTAGATTTAAGGGCTCTAGAAAGTATTTTAACACTTCTATCTCTCATGTCGCGGGGAGTTGGAGGAGACTGCTATTGTTTATAAATTAACCAGGAAGGAAAGAGAAGAAATGCCTTGGCTTGAGATTCTGTGAAACTCAGTGGACCAGACCTCTGACACAGACGCCAGAGGCGGTGCACATCCCTGCTAGTGACCGGGCCAGCCTTAGGGCCCTTCGCTATGGGCTGGCCTTCAGAGCTTGCTGCCCACTGTCCTCTCCCCACCTTGGGTGAGGAGTCTCGTGTCTTCAGCAGAATCTGGTAGTTGAGGGGTTTCCACAGAGAGTCATCAGCCGTGGCCACGGAGAACTGTGCAATGCAGGGAATCAGGTGCTTTGTTACCCGCTCCTGGAACCGCTCCTCTCCGCCGAGCCTGTTTTCCAGCTGTGAAGAGAGAGACAAGGACTTAGAACAGGCTGAACATTTTCCTTCTGTTAGAAAACATATTCAGGCCAGGCACTGATGGCCGATGCCTGTCATCTTAGCTACTCAGGAAACTGAGGTCTGAGGATTGTGGTTCAAAGCCAGCCCAGGCAGGAAAGCCCATGAGACGCATCTCTACCAGACAACCAGAAGTGGCACTGTGCTTAAAGTGGTAGAGCACTAGCCTTGAGGTGAAGAGCTCAGGGATGGCACCTAGGCCCAGAGTTCAAGTCCCATGGCTAACAAAGAAAACCATACTTGGTGTGTAAGTAGTATTTTACTATCTTTTATGGCAACAGGCTCAAAAATCAGGCCCTTGTAGGACTAGAACTCAGTGTCAGGCTTTTCTCCAGAAGATTCTGGGGCAGCCACACTCTGAGACTTGTGTGGCAAGGCTGACAGTTAATATCTTAAATCGATGATTTGACTGTAAGACCTTATGTCTTCCTTTTGAAAAATTCAAAAGTAAAACTAAATGAGCTCCGCAGTGAAGCTATGTTATGTCCATGAAAAATCTATTTTAAGATGAAAATGTCATGAAAGAACCCTTCCTTCACCCTTAAGATTAAGCAAGCATCATCTTAAAGAAAAGCCTGTGGGGAGGGTGGAGGTGGCACACACCTGGTCTACCAGAGGTGTCATCAAGGCCTCGGCTCGCTCCTTGCTCAGGAAGTGCTGCGTGTCATAGAGGAAGATCTTATGTAAACAGTTCAGGATGAACTGCAGCAGCAGGCAGCACTTCTCAGGGTCATGTTCTGAGTCAAAAAACGCTTCATCTATAGATGGGGAAGAGAGAGAGAACCACCCAAACCAGTCACCATCTGACACCAGTGCTAATGGTGAAACCACACTGAGATTACCCCACTGAGATTCGGAAAACAATCCAGCAATCCTAAAATGAAAGCAGATCACAAGATCATGGGGCCGCGCTGGTCCTGAGGCTCAGCCTGGCTCGGTGAGTTATCCCACTGCCCCTGCTCACCAGCACAGACCTACCTTCCTTTCAGTGTTTTTTTTTTTTCCTTCAGTGCTGGGGATGGAATCCAGGGCCTCGTGTGCTACACAAACATTATATCTCAGCCCTAACTTAAATGTTTTAAAGTCATTTCCAACAAGAAGTAATAGCTCCCACTTATTCTTTCTCCTCAGTCAGAGGATTCATGCTTATTTTCCATCAAGCTAAAACACAGTTCCATGTTTGACGATAAAGCAGCTCATCCTCCTCCATGGAGAATTTAGGATCCTTCAAAGTCCTGCCTGGGCGTTAGCTTGAGTCTCACTAGCTGCTGGGTTAGATGCAGAGTGAGGGCAGGGCTGACAGGGGCTACCGACCTGTTTTGGAGATGTTCACCTGGTTCAAGGTGTCTGCAAAAGGCTTCACCAAGTGCCCTGCAAACAGAGTGAACAGGCCTTTCAGTTTCTCGGCGATGCAGTCAGCCACGTTGAAGAATGTCAGCAGCCTGTCCCTCGGGGCATCTTCTGTTTTGGCCCAGTCGAACAGCTAGAACCACAAAACAGGCATCATGTCTCCTCGCATCACAAGTCACACATGCCTGAGTAGGCGGTGCCGAGGAAGAAAGCTCACCTTGAAGAAGAGGGGTCTGAACGTGGCCTCAGAGAGCTTCACTACCATGGCCACGAGGCAGGCGATGACATGGCCCTCTGCCTCCCCAACTTCTTCCAGGTCATTCTGCAAACACGGGAACAATGGTGAGCTCCAGTGTGAGTTCTACAGGGCCTGCAGCCAGGTCCGGCTCTGGCTTCCACTCACCTCCGAGTGCTGCGCCCGGAAGTCCAGGGCCTCCAGGAAGAAGTTGGTCAGCTGAGACTGGTGGGACAAGAGCTCTTCCTTCTTCATCACCCCGATGTGCTCTTGCAGAATGCTCATGAACGGGCCCATGTGATTCTACCACAAATAGGAGACAAAGCTTCACTACGCGCCCCCCCCCACCTCCACCTCCTGGGCAGCCACAGGCTGGACCATCTCAGCGCCACTGCCCCGAGCGACCATGGTGAGCTTACCTTCCAGGTCCTCTTTATCTCCTTGTACGTTTTGTTAATAGCTGGCAGGAGGACGCGGGGTGCGAGCCTGGTGGCCAGGGTCTTTTTAAGAGATGTGAGACGGACGTTAGCATGGGAGGCAGAGCCCATTTCACGTGTGACTTTCTCCAGATGGATCACCTAGGGGAACAAACAGCAGTGAGCAGGTGTCACAGATCCGTGGTGACAGCCACACTCCTGGAGAGGCTTGGTGGCAATGCAGAGCCACACCCAGTGTGGTCTGGTGAACACTGGAGGGCATCTCAGCTAGGCACAGAATTCCTTCTAAAGCCATCTCTGAAGAGTTGTTGATAAAACTGGGCAGAGCTGGCATGGAGGCGCGTGTATAATCACAGCTACTTGACACAGGGGCAGGAAGGTACTGAGTTTCAGGCCAGCCTGGGCAAGGTTAGCATGACCCCATCTCCAAATCAAAATATCAACAAAAGGGCTAAAATAGTAAAGCATCAGAAATGCCATCTGCCCATGGCACACAGAGCAACCTCCTATCAGCAGTGCAGGAATTCTGCCACGCAGGAACTCTAGGTGCAAGAATCTTTTACACACCCATCTCCACACTAACAGGTGGCTCTGCCTGCCCAACTGCCTAGATCTTGCAGAGGGAGAAAAAGCAGTGAAAACTCTGTGCGCGGTCAAAGAAAAGAGCTGCACTGAGAAGCAAGCTAAAGCAGAAAGTATGGTGGAGGAGAGAGAGAAACACGTGTGGTTAAGAGCCGGCTTCCATCTGTCATGCAGAAGCCAGCGCTGGCAGTTCTTCATGACCTGCTGCCACCCAGGCAGCATGGCGTGGTCGCCAAAGCTTACCTGGCATAGAACATCTTCCAGGTAGGGGCTGATGAAGTGCGGGAGGGTCTCCACCACTTTGTGCAGGGCAGCCAGCGCGCTGAGCAGACAGACCTCACTGTGGACCGGCTTGCTGGTACTCTTCACAGCTGCCAGCAGAGATGGCATCAGGCTGGCGAGAAAGAATGAGCGTGTTAGAGGGACTGAAAGCCCAAGCCACAGTGCCTAGAGTGGCTCGAGTTCCCAGCATCCAGCAGCTACCTGGGAAGTTGCGGGATGGCCAGTGCCTCCAGGGTGGACGTGACCTCCGCGATGCACAGCAGGGCACTTCCTAGCACGTTCTTATCCTCCTCCCGCTCTGGAGCGATCAGCGCCACCACAGTGCTCAGCACCGGCACAAAAGGCTCCTGGTTTTCAGCACCAAAATTCTTGCATAAAAGCTTTAGGGTATACAGCGCTGTCTGCCTGTTGATTGCTTGTTCTTCTTCCGCTTCCTTCTTCTTGTGCTGCACAATGGCCAGAAGGACTGGAACCAGTTTGAGGAAGCGCTGAACCTGCAGAGGATTGTCAAAGTCTCTTAGTTACATGGCTGCACCACAGCCAGTTCATTGTCCCATGTCCCCAGTTTGAGACTACCAAGATGAGGGTCAGCCTGCGGGCCCTGAGCCACAAGGTTACAGGTGAGGGCTGCTTCCTCCCCATTTGTCCCTCATCAACTGTGCTCCAGTGGGAACTGCCAACGCTGAGGCCACCATGTGGGCCAATCAAGCATGGACTGCACTAGACCAAAGTCCATTTTAAAAACTTCTACGACACACCTGTAATACATTCAGATCAGAACCCACCGTGCTGGGACCCTGGAAACGCTTTGGGGAGTCGAATGCGGCTTGTTAAGAGGGAGGCACCAGGATCTGCAACAGTCTTGACTCACCGTTTTCCTCTGCCAGGACGCAGGATGCTGTAGTTTGTTATTTAGAAGATCCAGAGCCTTCCGGCGAACAGAGGGAAGAGGATTGCCCACAAGTCCCTTAAGCACAGTGATGAAAGTTTCTGTGGGCAGCAAGGCATTGGCCTGTATAGTTCCACATTCACATTAAAGGAGAAAAAGAGAAAGGTCAACTCTCACCAGGACTCGTGACTTTTTTGTGAGTCTCATTATGTAGCCCAGTCAGGCCTCAGCCTCCTGAGTGCCGCCATTGCAGGTGTGCAGCATTGGACACCTAACTGGACTACAGTTTATTGCCTATCTCTGGTGCCCGGAATGTTCTTTAACACTTTCCCATGTAACTATTATAGTACCCCTTCAGCTAGTCCTCACTGAGGTAAAACACAACAGCACAACAAACTCTCTGATGCTGGGAATAAGTGATAGCTAAATAATCCAGTTAGACTTAAACAGTGATCCTAACGTCAAGGCCAAGGACCAATCTAGTTTATGTAATATTCTTACTTTATTCTGCTCCAAAGAAGTGGAGCACTGTATAATACATGACTAAAGACTAAGAATATCAGACTTATGAAGCAATGTGTCCCTGAAAACATTTTTTTTCTGGACAAGTTTTATTTCCAATCTTTAAGAAAATTTGAGCCTTGCTTATTAAGATAAGGTATTGGTAAATATAAGGTAAAATTTAAAGCTACAAAATATTTCAAGGATATCAAAAACCAGTGACAAAACTCAGTAATTAAAAAATGAGGACTGGGAAGGTGGCTCAGAGGTAGAGCGCGTGCCTTGCATGTCTGAGGCCCTGGGTTTGATTCCTCAGCACCACATCAGCAAAAAGAAAAAAGCCTGAAGTGGCGCTGTGGCTCAAGTGGTAGAGTGCTAGCCTTGAGCTGAACAGTGCCCAGGCCCAGAGTTCAGGCCCCACGACCGGACCCCCCCCAAAAAAATAAATAAAAATAAAAAATGAGCTGGGCACTGGTGGCTCATACCTATAATTCTAGCTAGCTGCCCAGGAGGCTGAGATTTGAGGATCACAGTTCAAAGCCAGCCCAGGCAATAAAGTCCATAAGACTCTTACCAATTAACCGCCAAAAAGCAGAAAGCAGAGCTGTGGCTCAAGTGGTAGAGCATTAGCCTTGAGCACAGAGAAGCTCAGGGACAGTGCCCAGGCCCTGAGCAAACAAACCAACTAAGGGAAAACAAATGCTAACAATTCTAGGAAGAAGCGGGAACCCACCTTGTCCAGCATGTCGTACGCTTTGCTGAGAAGCGCACGCCAGAACTTGGCGGTGAGCTGGTCGGCATTCTTTTCCACAGACTGTGCTACAGTGTTGATGTAGCTGAGCACCGTTTCTAGCAGCCTAAGAACAGACACACAAACAGCAGCTGATGGCATGAAAGCATACTGTCCCCTGTGTGTGGTGCCCTCAAACAGAAAAGGCAATTATGGTTTCAGGAGTTGTGTGGAAGGAAAGGAGAAATGTCAGCAGTCAGAGGCTGCTGTCGGGGCAGGGCTTTCTCCAGCTCTCAAATTGGCAGCTGTACTATGCTTTCCTAAGAGCATCTCCTATTCCAGGAAAATGTAAAGTACTCAAGGTAAAAAAACAAGATGTATAGACTTCATTTCAAATGGCTCCGAGATGGATGTGAGGGCGATCTGGCTGCGACATCTGTCACCCCATTGATCGCCAGGGTTGATTCGGCTGATCTGGCTGGCTAGGCGGGTGTCCCCTTCCTCCCTCACCGCTCCATGTGCGTCCCTCCCGAAGCTGCGCGCTCGGTCGAAGAGGACGACCATCCCCGATAGAGGAGGACCGGTCTTCGGTCAAGGGTATACGAGTAGCTGCGCTCCCCTGCTAGAACCTCCAAACAAGCTCTCAAATGGCTCCGAGATAAAACCACTGGCAGAGAGGCTGCAATGAAGCTGGCAGGTGTGTCGGGGCGGGGGGGAGTGAGGGGGGCTGCTTCAGCATGTCTACCTGTTTCCAAATAAAAAGTTAAACAAAGTGAACATACCTCTGTTCAAGGCCTTTTAAGATCTGAGGACCCCCGCTTTCAACCACCTGAGTGTGAAAGAATGCTCCATCAGCACATCGTGTGGGAAGCCCAACCCCACACCAATGTCACCTGCACAGCTCTGACTGCTTGAGTCAGACGCCCCACCCTTCCAGGGCCGCCCCAACTCAACACCTCTTCACTTAAATTACATTCTTTCATAGTGTTTTAAAGCATGACAAAGATTTGGAAAAACAGAGCATACAAACCCCTCTCATTTGTGTACTCTTAAGTTTTATGAAATGCTGCCTTTGTTAGTTCAAAAGAATTAGACGAGATCCTTCTTTTCAAGTTGTCATTTGTGTCCTTTATTATTTTGGAAGTTTCTCTAGCCTGTTATTTTTTCTTTGGGGGGGGAGGGAGTTTCTCATACTTTTCTATTTTCTAATGCTTTTATTTTTACGTTGGTAATGGGGCTTGAACTCAGAGCCATGAACTTTCACTTTTTCTTCTCTACCACTTGAGCTACAGCTCTTTTTCTGGCTTTTTGGTAATTAATTGGAGAGATGAAGTCTTATGAACTTTTCTGCCCACACTTGCCTAGAATAAACAATCCTTAGATCTCAGCTTCCTAGTAGCTAGGATTAGAGGTGTGAATCTAGTTTTGCTAAGATAAACAGCAGCATTAAACACTGCTGTTCAAGATCAGTCCTACCTCGCTCTTTTTTTTTTTTTGTCAGTTGTGGGGCTTGAACTCTGGGCTGAGGCACTGTCCCTGAGCTCTTCAGCTCAAGGGGAGCGTTCTACCACTTAAGCCACAGTGCCACTTCCAGTTTTCTGGTAGTTCATAGGAGATAAAAGTCTCACGGACGTTCCTGCCCAGACTGGCTTTGAACTGTCACAGACTTTCCTGCCCAGACTGGCTTTGAACTATGATCCTCAGATCTTAGCCTCCTGAGTAGCTAGGATTACAGGCATGAGCCACTGGCACCCAGCTTGTATTCGACTTAATATAAAGCTGACATCATGACTGGCATTTTCTTGTGCCCAGCATCCTTTAGGTATTGCTTGAGATGTGCTGGAAGTCTGTCCATGTTCACTGATGTGACATGTCACGTGACCAAAGACATTCGGTGGTTATAGTTTTGAGCCACTATGAATAATGCTATTACAGCTGGCTTGTAGATGACCTGTTGTGCACTATCTATGTTGGGTATTTACTGCTAAGAATGAAGTTGCCAGGTAAGAGGGCCTACACTGTCAACCTTGGTAGAACATGACAAAGTATTTTTCATGGTGAAACGAATTTCCATTTTTCCTATCTTTAATGGCATGCCTCCTGTTTTCATGAAACAGTTGATAAGCTATTTTCTTAAGTTTAAAACACAGATCTTTTAGTAAAAACAAGATCACTTTATCATAGATACATTTTAAGGAACACATCACCTTTTTAAGGAAATTATTGGAAGCCAGAAGCTGGGCCATGAAGGACACTGACAGAAACTTGAAATGCCGCAGTTGCTTGCTGGTGTGCGTGTCCACATTGAAGATTTGCAGCACGTCTTCTTTGACTTCAGTTTTAACAGAGCCTGTCTTGTGGGCAGTCTCTGAAACACAGCAACAAACCTCACTCATCCACAACCTGACTCCTCAGCACAAGCCTTCAAAAACACTGCTAATGATGGGTGTCAGTTGCTCACGCCTGTAATCCTAGCTACTCAGGAGACTGAGATCTGAGGATTGCAGTTCAGAGTCAGCCCAGGCAGGAAACTCCATGAGACTCTTATCTCCAATAAGCCACTCAGAAAACTGGAAGTGGGGCTGTGGCTGAAGTGGTAGAGCACTTGCCTTGAGCTGAAGAGCTCAGGGACAGTGCCCAGGCCCAGAGTTCAAGCCTCACAACGGACAAAACAAAAACCACCACAACAACAACAAACCACCACAAAAAACCACAACAAAAACAGTGCTGAGTGGATTTCTGATAGAAATTTGCTCAGCTGGAGCACTGCTGCGGATCCTACGTACTTTTTCTTTTCTTGTACATGTATTCACTGATATTTTAGTGGGAAGCTGAGAGCCAGCTACTACGGTCTAAACAATTTCCTGTCATTTGAACACAATTCCTCCTGGACACCGTGCGTGATGCTCCACCGTTAACACAAGTGCAAGGCACAAAATATAAAGTAGTGTGTGAGAACTAGTTCTTAGTTTGTGTGGGACACAAGGAAAAACACAACAGGGCCCAGTAACTGCAAGTTCTTTTCTCCCTAGCCCTCAGACGGACCATTCCCAACACCAGACTCATACTTACCTTCTTTTTCCTCTGGTAACTTCACCAAGTACTGAAGGATGTTCATCAAGCTTTGCAGCTGATGCTGGACACCAAATTCACAACACACTGAAATCCAAAATTCAGTATCTGCCTCTAAAACAGCATCCTGTAACACAGAGAAAGGGGAAGATGGCAAAATGAGCCTTCAGATGTACAAATACGAAGCATGCTCATGAGACCCTGAGCCTCAGAGTTAGAACACATGTTCCCCCAAGTAGATTGATCAAGGATGCTTTGATCAATTTGCTTGGGTGTAATTGTACAATAAACCCTGTGGATGTTATCATGTATGTTTATTTCTAGACCTAACTTCCAAAAGCAATTTTTAAGAATGCCAAAAACATTTTTGAGACAAGGTTCCAGAGGTGCTGTGTAATAATGTACATCAGCCATCACCAGCCTGTGTTTTTTTTTTTTTTTTT